CCATTTATTTATTTTATTGCATTTTACTCTTAAGTGCCATCTACAGGACTGCAGCCTGACTTACACAACCAAAAGAAATTACCTCAGGATGACAATTAACATCTGTGAAAGCCACAAATCTTATTGCAATCCAAGAAACCCATACAGAGCCTTGGCATCTTAAAAACAACCCCAAAATAAAACCATTTAATCATATACAATATACATCACAGCAATACCTCCAAGAGAAAAAAAAAAGAATAAAAAAATCAAGAAGCCGCACTCAAACAATAGCAAAAAAAAAAAAAAAAGAATAAAAAAATCAAGAAGCCGCACTCAAACAATAGCAAATTTGAGAAGGAAAGAACAGAAAGAAAGAACAAGAGAAGGGGAAGGAGGCGGAGAAGAAGAATAAGAAGGAGAAGAAAAGTGTCGGCTATTCCGATGGGAAGAAACAACCACAAGCAAGACAATTAAAAAAAAATTTCATCAGTTCCAAAAAATCTCACTAACTACTCAGCAATAGAGACTAACCAGAATCAAATATCTAAAATGGCACAATAGAATCCACAATATGGATGACAAAGAAATTCAAAGAGATCCAAGAGAAAGTTGAAATGTAACACAAAGAAGCCAGAAAAATAGTCAAAGATTTGAAGCACCTAACTGTATTAAAAATGAATGAACAAAACTTCTGCAATTAAGTTCAAAATTATTTTTTAATTTTACTTTAAGTTCTGGGGTATATGTGCAGATCTTGCAGGATTGTTATATAGGTACACACATGCCATGGTGGTTTGCTGCCTTCATTACCCTATCACTTACATTAAGTATTTCTCCTAGTGTTATCCCTCCCCAATCTCCTCATCCTCTGCTATCCCTACCCAAACTCCCCACACATCAACAGGCCCTAGTGTGTGATGTTCCCTTCTTTGTGTCCGTGTGTTCTTATTGTTCAACAACTACTTATGAGAGAGAACATGTGGCATTTGGTTTTCTATTCTTGTGTCAGTTTGCTGAGAATTATGGTTTCCAACTTTTTCCATGTCCCTGCAAAGGACAGAACTCATCATTTTTTACAGCTGCATAGTATTCCATGGTGTATATGTGCCACATTTTCTTTATCCAGTCTATCATTGATGGTCCTTTGGGTTGGTTCCAAGTCTTTGCTATTGTAAACAGTGCTGCAAAGAATGTAATGTGAATGTGTCTTTATAATAGAACAATTTATAATTCTTTGATTATATAGCAAGTAATGGCATTACTAGATCAAATGGTATTTCTATTTCTAGGTCCTTGAGGAATCACCACACTGTCTTCCACAGCGTTGAACTCATTTACACTCCCACCAACAATGTAAAAACGTTCCTTTTTCTCCACATCCTCTCCAGCATCTGTTTTCTCCAGATTTTTTAATGATCAGTATTCTAACTGGCATGAGATGCTATCTCAATGCTGTTTTGATTTTATTTCTCTAGTGACCAGTGATGATGAGCACTTTTTCATATGTTTGTTGGCTGCATAAATGTCTTCTTTTGAAAAATGTCTGTTCATATCCTTTACCCACTTTTAAATGGGGTTGTTTGTTTTTTTCTAGGAAATTTGTTTTAGTTCTTTGTAGATTCTGCATATTAGCCCTTTGTCAGACGGGTATATTGCACCTTTTTTTTCCCATTCTGTTGGTTGCTGGTTTACTCTAATGATCATTTCTTTTGCTGTGCAGTAGCTCTTAAGTTTAATTAGATTTCATTTGTCTATTTTGGCTTTTGTTTCCATTGTTTATGGTGTTTCAGTCATGAAGCCCTTGCCTATGCCTATGTCCCGAATGGTATTGCCTAGGTTTTCTTCTAGGGTTTTTATGATGTTAGGTCTTATGTTTAAACCTTTAATCCCTCTGGAGTTAATT